CTTTGTAATTAGATGTAGAGGAGCTTAATTGTAATATTCAGATTAATAAGAGAGTTTGACTGAGCTTACATGCATTGACTTTCTCTCTCAAGTGTTCTTGAGTTCTTACATGTAATATCTAAGAATCTGCCATGATTGATATGAAGATATTGAAGATTGATCAGTAATTGTGGACACACAATTGGTATCAGAGCAGGATGCAAGAAATCAGAGAAAGAATCAAGAAGATAAGTGATTTTTTTTTAATTTTCTGAATTTTTTTTGTTTTTCGTGTTCTTCGTGTTCTTGACATTTTTTTATTTTGATCCGATTTTCTCATAAAATCTTGTATTTTGATGTTAAAAACATGATCAATATGTTCGAAATTGAATTGTGAATCTTTGTTGTTCACAAATTTTTGTGATTTGATCAAAATAAATCAAGATTTAATCGGTTTTTAGGTTTTTAAAATTTTTTCGTGTTCTTAATTTTTTTTCGTAAATCAGTGTTTTGATCCATTTTTTTTTAATTTCTTTTAGTTTTTGTGTTTTTGTTAGTTTTAATCTGAATTTTAGTTTGAGTTTGTTTTTATTTTTGTTAAACCGACCAAAGTCCACCCAATTTTCTTTTGGGCTTAAGTCCAATTTTTGGCCCATACAACCTTGACCGGATAAGAGTCCGGCCACTCTATTCTTTGAGTCGATCAAGGAATTATCAGCAAGCTAAGTTCAAACCGCACGCTTCTTGATCGCAGTAGAGGTAAACCGAAGGAAGCATCACCGGATTCTTGAACGGATTTCTAAATCGGTTGTTTTGCACAAATCAGGTAAGTCTTCTTGACCGGAGTGTGAGCGGTTTAGGTTTTACTACTTGTCCGGTATTCTTGTAAACCGATCAACCCTTGATCGGATTTGTGACCGGATTAGATTTCTTCTTAACCGGTTTATGACTTGAATTTTWTTTTTCAATTAGTCTTCTGTCCGGTTTCTAATCCGTTCAATTTCACTTTGTGGTCTGTCCGGTTTAGGTCTTCTAAATCTAAGTGTTTTATCAGGATTCATAAATCGCTCATTCTAAATCGATCTCAGGGTGTTCAAATAAATCTAAGTATTCAGCTTCGATTCATGTATCGAAGATGTGTAGCAATCTGGTTATTTTTTAAAAGTTCACAGAAAGTTGAATTTGTTTGCTGTTTGATATCGATTTTGTGTTGTTTGAACCATTGTGGAACAGTAGTCTTTGCTTTAAAAAGAATCAGATTCAAGTTGGTTTGTTGTTCTTATTCAAGCTGTTGTATTAACACAGCAAGTTGAAGAAACAGTAGCCAGTCTGAAGGTTTGAAAACAGCAGCTTCACAGATAGCTGTTGGGTGTGAATCGAATTGTAAAAGCAAGAAATACAACTGTGCTGTGTTTGTGATTTGATTTGAGTTTAAGAAACATTAATTGACAACAGATTGTGATTGTTTAAGTAGTATTAGTTGAAGCTAAGCAACTGTGTTGATTTGAGTTTATTACATTCCAGCTACATAKGACTGATTTAGCAGCATTGCAGCAGGTTTGGAGTTCAAGTTGAGAACACAGCAGCAAGCAGTTTCTGTTTAATCTGTCATAACAGACTTGCAGGTTTAAAGCATTGCAGCAGGTCTTAAAGCAGAACAGCAACAGGTTTTGATAGCTTAAAAGGTGACTGTGTAAGCAGCAACAGGTTTGTTCATTGTGTTGTTTTGTAACAGCAGCARCATTAACAGTTGAAAGAARCAGTAGTAATAACATTTGGTTTTAGTTTTGTTTTGACACAGCCAGTTCTATAGAAGCATATTTGAAACAACAGCAAATCTGAAACAGTTTGTAACAGCAACAGGACATAACAGCAGCAGCTATAGCAATACCAACAAACTTGATTTCGTGGTTTTTGTTTTAAGAATGTGCTGTGTTTATTGTGTTTGACTGCAGCTTGATTTGTTTAACAGCAAGCTGAAGCTTAAAACAGAAACAGAAGCTGTGTTTGGTGTTTGATTGGTGTTGGGAGTGGGAGTAAACAGCARATTTTGCTTGTAAAGTCATACAGCAGGTCAAACAGTAAGTAGCAGACARCAACTAAACTGTAACAGCAGTGAACAAGTTGCTGGATGAACTCAACAGGTTTAACAATCATCAACAAACAGTAATTTGAAACAATGCRGCAACAAGATTCATAGCTACGTTGTGGTGTCGAAAAGAAACAAAACAGTAGCYCATAACAGCAGCTCAAGTTTTTTTAAAAAAAAACAAGTGTTGTGTTGTGTATTGTGTTTGAAGCAGTTATGTATTGAGCTCAAGTGCAAGTGATAGAATGTGCAAGTGACAGCAGCTCAAGTGCAAGTGACAGACGTTTTACAGCAGCTAGTTTTATATTGTTTGTTTCATGCATTGGAAGTAGTGTGCAGCAACAACAAGTTGTGTTCTTAACAGCAGTCCAACACAGCAGCCGCACAACAGCAAGGTTCTTAACAGCTTGTTGTTTCAAACCTGTGCTGTGATGTGTTAAGACAGCAACACAGTTTTTTTTAAGTTGTTTAAATCTGTTTTCACAGCAGTAACAGGTAACAGCAGTGTGCAGCAAGCAGTGTTAACAGGTTTAAATCTGTGTGCAGTGTTAGGCAAGCAGCAGCAGGTTTGAGCAGTTAACAGCAGGTCTTGCTGTTGTGTATGGAAAGAAGACAGCAACAATCGGACATAGACAGCAACCATTATTTGACAGTAGCTGTTCATAAACTCAAGTGCAGACTGGAATAGAAGCTGTTTGTGTTGAGAAGAAACTAAACAGCAGCAGCAATAGTATTGCAACAAGTTTAACAGAAACTGTTGGTTTGGAAGCTGTTAATTGAAACAAGAAAAAGACAGCAACAGAAAAGGAAAGTGTAACAGCAACTGTTTCACTTTGCATTGTGGTTTGAAACAGCAGCATCAACAGAAACTGTTTTAACTTGATTCTGTGTTAAGACAGCAACAAAAACAAGACAGCAGCAAAAGAATTTGCTAACTTTGTTTTGTGTTTTTGTTTGAGTTACTGATTTCAGCTCCATAGCAACAGCAGCAGGTCTTAGTTTAAGACTAAACAGCAGGCCTACAGGTTCATACACAACAGCAACAAGGGTCTGTTTTGTGCTGTGTTGATGTCGATAAGAAAGAAGCAGCTTCAACAACCTTTTGTTTCTGTCTTGATTTGAAACAGCAAGCTTTACAGTTATTTATTCTTGCTGTTAGAGATTGTGTAAAGCCCAGGTGACAGATTGGATAACAGCAGCTAAACAGTTCAGGTTTAGTAGCAGCAAGACAACAACTGTGGACATTCTCAAGCTACACATTGAACTGTTTTGTTTTTTTTTTTAGCATATTTGGTTCTTGTCTCTTGTTTCATATTTGGTAACAGCAGATTTCATACAAAATTTATGGTTTGTGCAGGATCTTACACAGTTCTGATTGCTGGTTTACGTTTGAGGTTTAAGCAGTAGGTCCACAGCTCCACAGATTTTAACAGCAATTTTGGATTTGAAGCATATCATAACAAGTCACCGCAGCTCGTGTGAAGCAACTGATAAGCGGAACATATTCGTGGATTTTTGAATATATTTCAGAGAGCAGATAGAATATTGTTTTAAGAGTTTCATAGCATTCAATTGTATTGTTTGACTTGAATTAGCTTGTTTTGGACTTGACTTGGATTGATTTGGTCTTGTATTGAGTTTTTGGACTTGGTTTATTGTTTTTAGATTGTTTTTAGTTTCTTAGTTCTTTTGTGTTTAGATTTTCGTTTGGATCATTGTCTATTTGTTTTTGCGTGTGTTTTTCAGTGTTTGAGTTTTTCTGTTCCTTTTGAGCTTAACTGTTCATATTTCTTTTATCTGATTTCACTGCATAGATCCTTAACTGATCATTTGATTTTAAAATGGCAGATATTTTTTTGAAGGAGAATCAAGAATTGCGAGCAAAGTATGATGAGCTGGAAAAGAACTATAAACTTCAAAATTATGTTAATGAGAAATGTAATGAATCTTTGCATCGAGCGTATAACGAAAAGATAGAAAAAATTGTGAAGGAATTTGAACATAAGATAGAAACGGTTGAACACAAT